AGCTGCTCTTGACAAGGTCTCCTACCTGCACTGGCTCCGGTGTCACAGTTAATGTCATCTGCTACAGAGCAGCATAAACACTGTATACAATCACTGAGCGGTGAGCGGCGCGTGTCGTCGAACACGCAAGAAGCGAACGAAGAAGTGTAGGCAGATATGGAATGGTGTTGGAAAAGCAATTCAAGTGGTGCAGATATTACATCCCATGTGAGAGACTGTCAATCATGGGGATTACAAGGCACACGGCTGGAATGTGCTGACCCTAAAATTATTGCCTGTAACACTTTATCATATTTTTTTTCCTCTCTCCCTCACTCACTATGTAACTCCTCTTCAGGAATGCAAGAGTTATACATTTTGTTGGCGTGTAGTGGAAAAACCTGGACTGAAACTAGTTATAGCAATTAATCCCAATTAGTCAAGTGGTGATGATAGAGAAAATGCACATTCCACAGTGCAAAAAATATATATATTTTTGACCTATTTGGGCTGTTTCCCAATGATTCCTGTTTACATGTTTATATTTCTCTGTTGGATTGGAAAAAATCAGAAAACACCTGATGTATATTCAAACAAACACACACATACATAGGCGCCCATAATTTGTAAAAAAAAACCCCAAGGCAGACAAGCGCATGTTTTGTGTGAGCAGACACCACAAGGCAACCCTCCCATAACAATTAATCTTTTTTTTTCCGCAACTAATCAAATTCACAAACCCATGCTGACGCCACTCTGGCTCAATAAAGGAGCCTTTCAGATTAAACTTGAAGATAAATTGTGCATTTACAATACCGACAACCATCGCAGCGCGATCTCTGCTTTCTGCCCATTCAAGTCACTTCCTGTTCTGAGTAGAATCCATTTACAGTTGGACAACGAAAAGTCAATTGGAAGACAATTTGTCTGAAATCCATCCTTTCTTCAGTTACAACCTATTCCATCGATAAGACCTACTGGTCTGGTGTTTGTTTGAGGACAAAAGAAGTATAGACAGACTACAGTTATGTTACGAGTTGGCTCAAAGAAATGCATACAGCATGCAGCTGCAGTTGCTAGGCAACCAGAAGAGGCTATTGCGAAGGTCGATTAGTAACAAGTTAAATATTATTGTTATTAATTAAATAGTACTAAAGCACGTTGTGTCTTACAGTATTAGTGATACTTGTGATGATAGTTCCCTTAAGTAGGGGGCGCCACGAGAGGTAATCTGAGGATATCTGCATTTGGAGTCACGGGTCAGAAAGACTCATTCTGTGATTACTTGCATATGAATGTTAATTAAACCATTAGGTATAATGACAGCAGCAGACCATGGACCCATTGTATTCCGTTGCGTAACAGTGCAAATGACAAAGCATAGTCGTGGAACTGGGAATACGACACTTCAATGTGTAATAGGTAATACAATCTGGGATGTAAGTACACAATAACCTGCTCTGTTGCATTCTTGTAGTACATGTCAGTATGTGGGGGCGGGTGGGCAGGCACTGAACTCACCTAGATCCATGCTTTTGGACTTGCGGGACTTGACGATGTCCAGCTCGGCAGCGTTGCTGTACTGTTTGGTGCGTTTTTCGGACATACTCTGTCGACCGAAGCCTTCCCTCTGGAACGTTCCATCAGGGTCTACGTCGGGACTGAGTGAGCTGAGGTTTGAAAAGACGGGGAGAAGAAAGACATTTATCAACGGTCGGCGCTTTAAATTGAAATTCCGTTCAACATTCTATTGTGTTGTGTGTCTTCCCACAACACACACACACACACACACACAAACACTGCCTTTTACTTTAATGTCCATTACAACCAAGGACACCTCATCCACAGGACGGGTGCAGCAGCAGCACAATGTGAGGAGAAGAAAGCCTGACTAAGACGTGTGATAGTCCAGCGGGGTGAGGGTGCAGGGGGATCAGGGCCGCTCAATAACGCCGCTCCGACAATACGTCTGGAGCAGTGGCAGGGGTCTGGCCCACCGAAGCTCACTCTTTTTGAGATTCTCTATCTCTGTCTGGATCTTAATTGAAAATAGCAGGGGAGTGGGTGGAAGGGGTTTCAGAAAAGGGAGGCAAAGAGGAGCCGAACGTGCATTTATATATATATTTAGATCATTTGCAATTAAATCAAAAACATTTAGCAACTTAGCTGTGACACGGATGGAGAGGAGTCATGTTGATGAACCACAAGATCCAGGGTTTGATTAATTAGTTAATTTTTTTTACATTCTTTTCAAGGTTGCAGAAGGAGCTGCAGTCAAGGGACAGTTAGCCAGTTCCTCACTGGGCCACATACAGAGACAAACAACCATTCACACAGAACATGTAGAGAACATGTAAACCTCATACTGGAAGACAGAGTTGGAACTGTTAAATTCTGTAGAGGACCTTCTTGCT